GGGGGGGGGGGGGGGGGGTGCATCACGTATGTATTTGAATCCACGTGCCCTCTTGCACACAAGTACCGAGTACAATCCTTTCACGCACACAAGTCGGAGATACTTGCGACCCCTAGACGGCGCATACATCTTTCCAAGAACCCAAGTCTGAGTGCTTGGAATATGGTTTAGTTCTGGAAAATTAGACTGGGCACTTTCTGTATATCAAACATTAAACACCAACCAACCCGTATTCCGAGTACGTACATGTATGACATAGCGACATTGCCAATAGTAGTGAAGCTGATTACCTAATATATATGTAGTGCCAAATTTCCAACATTACAATTACTGAAATCACGGTAGTGCCAAGTTTCCAACACTACGAGGCCGCCACCAGTCGTAGGTGCACCCCTACCAATAATGGATATACCCAGAGGGGTAAACCGTATACGACAACCACGAGGTAAAAATAAAAAAGAGAGGAGGGTGTGACACAAAGTACTTAACAAAAATGGTGCCCGGTGAAAAAACCCAATGGTCAAACGAAACACACGTCATCTACCTGCTTGTTCACTGACATTATTTGCCGTTCCTCGCCCAACTTGAATTATTTCGAATGTGCACCGACAGAGAATATTTCCACGCGCACACATCTTTTTTATTTCATCCGAGAAATGATCCAACTGACAAATCACAAACAGAAACCACTCATGCTGTGAACTCATACTCCAACAAGCGTCTGCTACGAGCCTATTGTGAAATCACTGATGCTACCACCCGAAATCAGAGTAATAAACACCAGATTACCAACGGCTCAACCCCTTGCGTCATTGATTTTTTTTTTGCTTCTGCCCAGAGGCCTAGCACCCCAAGAGAATAGTCGAGTCCGGGCAAACCCAAAGGCATATTACATGGTAGGCCGAGTCCCTCGACAGCTATACTGTAGTGGTAGTACAGAAATATCACTTACAACGCTTCGAAAAAACCTAGTGTTCACGCATGGCAGAGCTTTTCGTACACACCCACGATGAGCTTGTTGGGGGTTACAATATGTGCCGCCCCACTCACACACAATAAATAAGAAACACATCTCGCGAAAACGTGATGCTCGACACTTACTTGGTGTTGATACGAAAATAATTCCGAAGGATCTAGCCTGTGTCTGTCAGATTCTAACGCCCCACAACATCGACAACCGGCCGAAACAATATCAGCAAACCCCCCGGCCCCTACATGACCAGGCAACGATTTGTGGCGCCCACGGTTTACTACAATACAGATTCTTCCATTCGAGGCGTGCGTTGGATCCACGCCGCCGCGGGCGTTCAGAAACTTTCCCCTGAGACTTTCGCTCTCAAACAAGACAGAATGCGACATAGTCTCCCTCCGGCGCGTGCGTGAAATATTGTGTACATTTTTGTACGACTTCCATTGTGCGGCCCTCCGACTGACGACAAATAACCCTAACCTCAATGCCAATACTCTTGAACGTACTCGGAAAAGCATGTCGTTTCACAAAAAAACGCAGTTCCTGGAATGGAGGGGGGAGATCGCATCAGCTTTCC